TATAAATATATATATAAGACAGCATGAAAGGATGTTTGTTTTTGCTGAACTACATTTCGTAAAAACATTTTTTGTTTGCGTGCAAGATCATGACATAGATCTGCTGATTAATGATGTGTGTATGCTAAGATTCTATGCTAGATCTGTGCATATTCTCTCTCTCTATATATATGCATTATATATATAATGCACCGATACCAAGCACAGTACTCAGTACAAGTAGCGATACTTTCCCAGCTCCAGGACTAGACTAGAGAAAAATTGAAAAGTTAGGAGGCAGCTGTCATTTGTAAGGAGCACACGGAGCTCCTGGAATTTGTACATCTCTGTTTTATTGTATGAGTTTGTTTTTATAAATAAAGGGATTCACCAATACCAGTTTTACGAGTACTGGTACTTGCCCAAGTACTGATACATTTTTGTTTATTGTCATGTGACAGTTTTTCTAAAACAATATCGACCAATGATTTCAGGACAGTGGTGGAGCGCCAGGGCCAGGTCCCAGCTACAAACACTGCAACCCTAGTTCTCATGAAAATGCCAAGTATCGGCACTAGTACTCGAAAAGTATCACTCTCTCTATCTCTCTCTCTCCACACACACACAGAATGATAATAAAAACTTACCTATCTAATGCTACCTAACCTACCTAATGTCATTGCTATCCATGCCTTATTCCCATATACCATCTACTAGAGATGTTCTGATAAAACAGTCTAAATAGTATGTCTTTGAAGTGTGAAGGCAGCTCTAATCTATTGTTACACAGCTCGCTTTACCATTACATCCCCCATGGCATCTTAGGAAAATGTAACTGTATAAGTGTTGCAATTAACACATTTATTGGGGGCTAATTATTAGATTTCCTGACACCAACATGGTAGCATACGAATGGGTTTAGCTCCGCCCCTCACCCAATCACAGTACCAGTTATACCTTAAATTAAAACATGCCTCCCAAGACCACCATTATCGTAAAAAGTACTCCATGCGAAAGCCATGGGAGGGTCCCGTATCGGTGTCAGGAAAAGAAAAATTACTGATAGGCAAGTATACAATTTTCCGCACACTGTAGAATATGTGACATTTAGTAGGAGCTCTAGCATACAAACAAACACTATGACTGAAGACAAGTAATCCAGACAAGCCAATCTTGTCTTCCAGCCTCCAAGCCGCTTAGGGTAATTTTGGATGTAGCATCTACTGTAGAAGGTCTGAATTTTTAGGATGAGTAGAAGATTCCAGGGTCAGAGTCTACAAGAGAGAGAACCCTGGATGGATGGGCCACAGCCAAAATGATTGCCATCACCCTACCTGGATAATCGAGGGTCCTTTTTAGGAGCCTGAAACCAGTGGGACTGAAGGAAATATATAAGCATTAAAATATCCAATTCTCCTGCATTGGAAAGCTCACGCTTAACAAGGAGTGTCTGCACTCTGTGCTCTTAGGGATTACCATCATGTTGAGATCTGGATAACCCACTTGCTGCTGATCCACAGGAAACTGCTGGATAAGAAAATATTAATAGTCCAAGGTAGGGTTGCCACCTTTTCTTCAAGCGAAACCCGAACACTCTAGTAGCCCCTATCTTAATTTTGGTTGCTCCTGTCTGCCTGACATCTTGTGTCCGGGTTTCTGCTGCCATGAAACCCGGACAGAGCATTCAAAACCCGAACTGTCCGGGTGAATCCTGGACAGGTGGCAACCCTAGTCCAAGGCTTTGTGGCTTAGTGTCAGCCAGGAAATTCTGGGGAGTTCAGTGCTGAATTCATGATTGGCGGTACCTCCATCAGCAGTGAGCAGTCCCTTCCTCCCTTGTGACACTGAATCTACGGGGAAAAAAATCATCCTGTTGTTCAATGAATCAATACGGAGTCTCAATGGATCTGAAAGGCTCCCTGAACGCCAAGATGCTGGAGATTTCTTCCCCCATTGGACTGTCACTTGCCTTGGACTAAGAGGTTGTTGAAGTGATTAGTAAATGACAGTTGAAATAGGCTGGCGGCCTTAGCCAAAAACAAAGAATCTCATATTTGGAATCATCCTGATCCTCCAGCACAGGGATTATTTTTCTCTGTCGTCTGAAGAATCCTGTTGGAAGACCCTCAGCCTCCATTAAATCTAATTTCACTATCTGAATTGATTCTGTCAACTTGAGACAATAGGACGCCAATGAGTAGGATAGAGACAGCGGCCTACTTGGAAATTTTCTGAGTCTCTCTGAAAACGTCATCTATTGTGTTAGCAACGCTTGGCTTTCCCTGTTGGGGAACCCTGTTAAATGTGATCAGAGCCTAACTTAGGATGTCCCTGTGGACTGCCAGAGTATTAGCATGCTGAACTACCAGCAGGATGTCGCCGCAAATAGTGGAATACGTGAAGCCTTGTTCACTCAAGAAGGCAGTGACTGGATGTAATATTTAGAAAATTACCTAGAACTGTGGCGAGGCCAAAAGGCAGATAAACTGAAAGGGGAACTTTAGAATGGCAAGCAAGACATTCGAGAAAGGACTGGTGTACAGGAACGTGAATACACCTCTGCCAGGCACAACATCCCATAGCCTGTTCATGGCTTAAGTGATTGAATACAGAGATTCCATATGCAAGCTAAAAAAAAAAATAGGAGGATAAAAAGCTTGACATTTTTGGACTGGAAAGATTACGAGACACCATTTGGATATGTGTACATAGAACCTAGAGCCTTGCTTACACCAAGGAATTCTGATGGGAATTAAATTGACAGGAAGATGAGAATAAAAACTTGACAGTGTCCATCTTGAATTCTTAACAGGACCCATGGATCCTGAACAGGATATGCTCAAACCAGTGCAAGCTCCCACAACCTGGGACCTACTGGCCAATTTTGTACTAATATGTCCTTTGTGCTGTAGATGGCACTGTAGTGCAATGCTAGTCTCTGTGTGCATGCATATCTATGAAACAAAGGAAGTTCTTTTCCTTTCTGTTTTCTTCAAAATGCAATATTCATATATGCAACGTCATTCTAAGCAAGTAAAACTCAAATCAGCATTCCTCAAGATCTCAGTGCTTGATCTAAACCTAAAACCAACAAGAGGAACCCTCAAAAAGGACTTTTGTTTCTCTTACGAGGGAGTAATCTTGGTTTGTTAAAATGAAGAAAAGCTGATTGTGAATTCTTCCATCCCCTGAGACCTTAGGTATTGTTGTGTGTGGCGAGATCTGCACCAACACAAGGTAACTGCAGCCACGGATAAGCAACACAGCATATTCATAGAAGCTTTACTATAAAGTCACTTGCTGATTCATTTCATTCAGAAATTACCATGCCCCTGATACCTCATTGCCAGCCAAAAAATCTGCTTCTGTGTTCTTTGGCCAAGTATAGATTGTCCTGGCAAGTAAGAGCCATTACTGGCCCACGGGTGCTCCAGAAAAAAAAATATAAATTTTATTTTCTCATATAAAAGGTGTCCTGATGCCTAACCAGAAAATTGCAGAAACGTCACCAGCACACTAAATCCTTATAGGATCAAAGTTTGTAGATTTTTTTGCAAACTCATGTCAGTTACACAAGCGCTTTCGGGGCCACACATGGTCCCTTCATCAGGCATAGATCTTGCTGGCATAGCTATGCCTGATGAAGGGACCCTGCGTGGCCCCGAAAGCGCTTGTGTAACTGACATGAGTTTGCAATAAAATCTACGAACTTTGATCCTATAAGGATTTGGTGTGCTGGTGACGTTTCTGCAATTTTCTGTATTTGGCGGCGCCATCCGCATTCATTCCGAGCACCCCTCCCCGATCACTGGGTCATACCGGTAAAGAGTGCAACTGGCCTTTTCTTTTTTCCTGATGCCTAACCAGCTAGATGACTGTTGCATTGATCATGAGGAAAATTTAGAGCAACAAACCTCGTCTTGAATGGGTATATATTCCTTCCAACATATGGCCTTTAACTGCCCTGATTAGGTAATGACTAAAAGGCCCACGGTAAGGGAATCCTTGCCTGTGAATCATCACCCAAGATGTATGCTGGCAATAATCTGTAACTGACTGCCTTAGGGCTAGAGGGGAATTTGTGGTGGATGCAGCTGCTTGACTAGGCTAGTAATTGACAGTTCATAAAGTACATCACCTCTGTTTAAGACTTCAGACCTCCACCCTTCTACCTCTTTATTTACTGCTGGGAAAACTTGGCACAGCATCCTGCCAGATGATTGCAAGCCCAGCACTGCTCAAAAGATTGTACAATTCTTAATCCTAGTAGCAGGCTCTTGCATGTGTAGCGGCTTTATCACAGCTTGAATAGGGCCTTTCTTCCCAAAATGAGCCGCTTACTCTGTCCTTGGGGAGCAGTGTTAAGGTGCCCATACACTGCACGATTCTCGTACGAGAATCGCGGGAAATCCCGCGATCGTACGAGAATCGTGCAGTGTGAATGAAGGCGTGCGACCGTTTCTACTGTACGGTCGCACGTCTTTTGTCTAAGGAGCACGCTAGAAAACCAGCCGAAAATCTTACGATGGGATGTAATGGTAAAGCGAGCTGTGTAACAATAGATTAGCGCTGCCTTCAGACTTCAAAGACATACTATTTAGACTGTACTTATCC